CAAGTACTTGGGCAATCTTCCACTGCTTTCCCTGGCCATAGCAGAGAGCTGGATCAGAAGTGGAACAGCTGGGACTCGAACCAGTGCCCATACAGGATGTCGGCACTGCAGGCGGCAGCTTTACTTGCTGCACTACAGCGCCGGCCCCGGTAAATAATCTTAAAAAAAAAAAAAAGATAGCCTATGTGTTGAAAATTGTTGAAGTTAGGGTTTTAAAAAGAAAGAAAGAAAGGTTGCATGGCCTGAGAAACAGGTACCGCCAACAATTCTGGGGCAAAGGCACAGCAGTAGTTGAAAACTCTTACCTGCTCTCCGCCTGCTCCAACTGATCCATGGCCAGTGGCAAGCAGGCACACTTTCTACCCTCTAATTTTTTATTTAGTCCAGTCTGGTCCCAAATTTCATTGTGCCAGGGCAGGGCTATGTCAGGCCTTTGAGCTGATGGGCTCAATGTCCCAAAATATAGCCTGATAACTGCATATTCCAAAATGTCCTGGCTGTCTGGTCTGAACTCAGCTGTTAGGGAACAGGCTAGATGATTGCATTTATGTTGCCAAACCCTTGGTATGGCTACCAGGCCAGTTTCATCAAAGGAAACTAAATAAACAGAAGACATTAGCTATTTTCATTTTAAATTTTTATTTATTCTTTATGAGAGAGAGAGAGAGAGAGAGCAAAACAGAGACAGAGACAGAGACAGAGAGAGAAACTCCAATCTGCTGGTTCACTGTCTAAATGCCCACAGCAGCCAGGGCTGGGTCAGGCCAAAGCCAGAAGCTGGAAACTCAATCCAGATCTCCCATGTAGGTTGCAGAGACCCAACTCACTGACCCACTACCTGCTGCCTCCCAGGGTCTACATTAGCAGGAAGCTGGAATCAGGGAGCCAGAGCAGGGACTTGGACCCAGATACTCTGATATGGGACATGGGTGTCCCAATCAGCATTTCCATTGCTAGGCCAAACGCCCCCCCCCCCCCCGCCCCTGAATTTCTATCGAAGCATCAGAAGGATCAATTCATCTGTACTCCTTGAGCAGTCACTTACCTCCCTGACTGGCTGGTCTTCCTGGTTCCTGTTATTGGGTTCCATTTGTCCCCAGAAAATTCCTGCAAAGCAAAATTCTAATAAGTTAGAGAGCTCTGAGTAGCCAGGTGTCCAGATGGCCTCAAAATGTCAAGAGGTCGGAGCCTGTCCTTAGCCAGGTCCCCCAGCTGGCTCCTTCTCCTCTCCTATGCAGGCAGTAAAATGTGCACCTGGAAGGCTGCATTCCTGTCGCGAGACCTGCTGAATTGCTGCAGGCCTACAGAGACCCAGAGAGCACACAGGAACCTGGCCACTGTGCACTCAAAGCATTGCAGTTCCCTTTTTCTCCACTCCCCTCCTAAAACCTGATCAAAACCAGTTTAGCATGTTTGCTGTTTGCTCTGGCTGCTGCCCGAGTCAAGGGACAGAGGTCTTTTTGTTTGTTTGTCTTCAGGAACCTGAGCATTCCTCCTCCAACAGAGAAAAGCATCTTCTTAGTATAACCCCCGGCCACTGGGCAATTGGAGGTTTGGGAATGGAAGCTCCTATGGCAGCAACCCTCTCCCAGGGTGGACAGAGGGGAGAGCAGGCATGCCAGCGCACCATCTGCATTGCAATGACTCCTCCCCCTCCACACACACCTGCTGGCAGGGCCTGAGGTGGGTTCACCTCTACGGAACATGGGCACTGGGTGCCCGGGTCCCCATATTACAAGGGTAGACACCCTACCCTGGGCATTTTTTTCGTTAAGGCCTATGCCCAAGCAACTCTTTCTTTCTTGGGCCAAGCCACATTGTGTCCCTTGTAAAAATGTCCCAACCTTCCTATTTGTTGTGGGTTGAATGTGGTCTGAAGTGTATCCCCCAAGGCTCTGTGTGTTGGAGGCTTGGTCCTCAGTGTGGCAGTGTGGGGTGGGGGGGGAGGGATCTGTAGGAGGCAGTGCCTCCTGAAGGTCACTGGCAGAGTTGCCCTTGCAAGGAATAAATGTAGTTCTTGTAAGGCCCCAGTTAGTTCTCCAGAGACTGGATTGTGACAAAGTAAGGCCTTTCTGTGTGCTTGGCCTCTTCTGCCTCTTCTGCACGTGGTCATTTCCCTTTTGGCTTCTTTGCCATGGTATGATATAGCCAAGGGGATGCTCACCAGAGCTGAGCAGAGCAGAGCAGAGCAGATGCTGGTGTCATGCTCTTGAACTTCTAAAACTTCTTTTGTAATACAACACCCAGCCACAGGTATTGTGTTATGCAAATTTACCTTTCAGGGTCTCCTTGATTTTGCTGACAGAATCCTCTACCTAAAGACCTGGAGCTTAGCCCAGGAGGAATGCAGCTTTGCCTAAACCTCACTGATCTTCCAAAATCCCTCCTTCTCCAGCACTGTTATTATTGGGTTCGTTCACAGTTTCATTACCTTTGCTCCAGTTGGCCTTCCCTCTGGGGGTAAGCCACTTGGTGAAGTGGAATGAACATGGGTGTTTGGTGTCAATCACACTCACTGACGCTAGCTCTGTTATTTTAAGGCAAGTCATATCACCTCCTTGAATGTCAATTTCCTACCTGGCAAATAAATATTCCAACTTTGCTGGGCTGCTGGTAGTAAGGATCAAATGAGACATGCGAAGAGAACACCCGGCACCGTGCTTGGCACATAGGAGGCACTGGGTGTGAATAGCCATGGAAAAGCTGAGGTTGATGTCCTGGCTCCAGCTTTCACAGGACCATAGCACTTCCTGACCACATCTGGCACATCAGAGCAGTTCTAATGACTTGCCCTGACTCTGTCCCGACACCCCTGTGAGATATCCCTGCTGGCAAAGTCAGAGTGGTGGTTATTCGGTTATTCATTCAGCCACACTGGGAGCCAGGATTTCCTGTCCATGCCCTGTCTAGTCCTGTGGAAGTGCTCAGTACATAGCAGTGGCCAAGCCAAACAAACTCTGATACCCGCTCCCAACAGCCTTCCCAGGTCCCCAGTATCACTTCCCTTTATGTCCTGAGCCATTTAAGGTTCTTGTAAATGGCCTGTACCCTTTGAACCAAAGAGGCAGTTATCCCCAGGGCTGGTTGCAGTTAGGGATCCTGGTGGAACTTGCTGCCCTGGAGGAAGTGATGTTGCTAGGAAGCCTCCTGACACACTGGGAGGGTCTGAGTGTTGCCATCAGCTACTTCAGCACGGCTTCAAATTCTACAGCTGCCCTCCAGGCAAGCTACTCAGTTTCTCCTATTTCACTTTCTGGAGCTACAGAACAGTGTGATCTTAATCCTAAGAGTACCTACTCAGAGTCCTTCATTGCTTGAGGACTCAATGAGTTGATTCACACCAACATACTTCCAAACATTCATATAAGATGAAATTTAGATCATTTTTGTGCAAAAAAATTGAAATACATGTATATGAGGGGTCTCTAGAAAGTTCATGCTAAATATACATTAGAAAAAAAAAACAAATGAACTTATGATTTAATTAGATTTTTCTGTGAAGCAAATGCCCTCATATAAAGCACCTAGAACAGTAAGTACCTAGCGCCCAGTACACAATCAGGTATTAGTAAGTGTTATGTTGTTCAAACCCTGGCTCTGCCACTAGCTAGGTGTATACCCTCTCTGAGCCTTGGCTTCCTCAGCTGTAAAGTGGAGATCCTATTATAACATATTCAACTGTTACATGAACTAATTTGGATAAGGTAGGCAAAACTAACCGGCATGATTTATGCAGGCTGTGTGTGTGCTGATTTAAGTTCTCCTCACACCACTAAACAGGAGCTAATTAGCTCCCCAACTTTCTCCAGAGGCATAAGGAAAAGGATCTTCCTATTTCAGATGGTCATGACCACCACTGCTTAGTCACCAGAGCTGGGGTATGTAACCAGAACTGTAGATTCTCTTCGTGTCTGGTGTGGGGCCTGGGGATGGAAAGCTCATGTGGCACGTGTCTGCAAACCTAGTGTCTAAGTAGATCTACTTCAGCATGTCTAACAGGCATTAGGAGCCCAATGCATCCGTCCCTCAAAGGACACAGGGAGAGGCATGGCCCAAGCACAGGCTCACCTGCACTGTTGCCACCAGTCGCTGCAACATGCAAGATGTCCTCCTTCCCTTACAGAGCAACCACGATCTCCTCCACCTGTCCCTCAACCTCAGCCCTTGCTTCTCTATTGTCTATTGCGGGCTCTTCTTTCAGCCAAAGTTTCTAAAGCTAAACCAACATCTCCATTTGACTTTTAAGAGATAATAAGTCACTTATAAGGTGACTACTATCAGACAGTTACTGTCCTCCTAAGTGCCTCATGTTTGCCACATCATTTATTCCTCACAACTAACTTTAACAAGTAGGTGCTGTTATTGTCTTCATTTTTATCATATGGGGAAACTGAGGCGGTGAGGGGAGGTGACAGGGACTTGAACCAGGCAGTCTGGTTCTAGCCTTGGTGCCCTCAAACCATTATCCTGTATGTCCTCTCCTTTATCAATATCATGAATATTTTCAAACATACAGACTGTAAATTTACAGTGACACTGATAAACCAACCACCTATATTCTACAATTAACATTCTGTCATATCTGCCTTATCACAAATCTATTCATGTCTCTATTCACCTACCAGTCCATCTTCAATTTTTGATGCATTTCAAAGTAAGTTGCAAAAAACTTCATCCCCCCCAAATTTGAAAACTAAAATTAAATGGATAAATTCCTTAAAAAAACAAACTACTAAAGCTCACTCAAGAAGAAACAGATAACCTAAATGACCCTATGTCTTTTAAGGAAATTGAATTTGTACTTAAAAACCTTCCCACAAAGAAAACTCTGGGCCCAATTGGTTTCAGTGATAAATTCTGTCACACATTGAAGGAAGAAACACTAACAATTTTGAACAATCTTTTCCTGAAAATACAAGAAAAAAGAACACCTCTCAACTCATTCTTTAAGACCAGTATTGCCTTGCTATGAAAACCAAAGACATTACAAGAAAACTACAGGATAAAATCCTTAATAAACACAGATGCAAACAGCCTTTACAAAATGTTTGCAAATCAAATCTAGTGACATATAAAAAGGACTCTGCATCATGACCAAGTGGAATTTATCCTGGCAATGCTAGGCTGGCACTTACTTCAAAACTAAATCAATGTAATTCACTATACCAACAGACTAAAAGAGGAAAAGTATATGATCTTGTCAATAGATACAAAAAAAAAAGCATTTAAAAAAAAAGCCTAGCATCCACTCCTGACAAAAATTCTTTGGGCATCTTGTTGCTGTGGTTAAGATGGCATTTGGGATGCCCGCATCCCATATTGGAGTTCCCAGGTTTAAGTCTCAGCTCTGCTTCAGATTCCAGCTTCTTTTCATTGCACACTCTGTGGGACAGCAGACAATGGTTCAAGTACTTGGGTCCCTTTCACACACTTGGGAGACCTCGACTGACTTCTTGGCTCTTGACTTTGACCTGGACAAAGTGCACATGGCTAGTTTGTTCTTTTTTGAAGTAAACATTGCTACTTGAAAACTTGAAAGGCAGAAATAAAGAGCCAGGGCTGGATCAGGCCAAATGTAGGAGCCCAGAACTCCATCGAGGTCCCTCACGAAGGCAACAGGGGCCCAAGCACTAGATACATCACCTGATACATTTCAGTATGCATTAGCAGGAAGCCAGGACTCAAATTGGCACTCTGGTAATAGGATGCATACATCTCAAGTGGTACTTAACCTGCTGTGCTATACCATCTAGCTTTGCGCTTAATCTTTCACTATTAAGTTGGATGTTAGCTGAAGGTGTTTTGTAGATACTCTTTTATCAGACCAGGGAAATGCTCTTTTATTCTTAGTTGTTAGAGTTTTAAAAGTTTTTTCATTTATCTATTTTTATTTATTTGAAAGGCAGAGAGAGACAGAAACAGGCAAACAGAGAAAGAGAGAGAGAAAGATCTTCCATCCACTGGTTCACTCTCCCAAATGCCTGCAACAGTATACACACCAATGGGCTCCAAAAATTCATGGAAAAATGCATATTATTAAAATTCACATTATGAAAATAAAACCTATGCATGGGTTCCAAAAAAAAATGTTTGGCACCAACATAAACTTATCTTTCAGTGACATTCTCCACAAATTTTTGGAAGTAGGCTTCTATTAAAGAGAATTGTACAAATAGCAAGTGCATGTTAGTTGAATTTTGACAAATACACCTGTGTAAATCAAACCCTCATCAAGACTCAGAACATGCCCTCATGCCCCTTTCCAGTCAATCTCTGGACTACCACCCTTTGCAAGCACTGTTCTTAATGCTTTTTCCCATGGAATAGCTGTTTTAGAACTTTGCATTTCAGAAATGTCTGCTTATTGGACAATAATTTGACACAGAAATCAATTGCTGGTTTGAGTGTATTAGCTAAAAGGTGGCAGAAACATCTGACATTAAGCAGGCAAGGACATAGTGGGTCCTCCCAGAAATACTTTGAGAGATGGTGGTAGCTTGTGTTAGGTTGGAGGCCATAACCAGGGCATAGCACTCACCAGGTTAGACCTGGGTCTCCAATAGAGACAGGTTAGAGAAGGGGGAGGGGGGAATTTGTCCTTGGAAAACACCAGACAAGTCCGATCTCTGAAAGTCTGGTTCACAACTGCAAATTCTGCTGCTACAAATAATTTTCAAGCAGAAAATGGAAGGCAATAAGTGCTATTTCGTATCATGAACTGGGCCTGGCATTCTATATGCACAGTTTCATTTGATCCTCAAAACTGATCCATGAGGCGGCAAATTTTTTCCTCTACTTTAGAGATAAGGTAATAATATTTTTCTTTGTACTGCCTGTTTTATGAGGTAAAAAAAAATTTCCCTTCAGAAAATCAAATAGCTTCAAATTCTGATGGCTGAATGACTTGCTTACGGTCATTCAGACACTAATTTGACAGTCAGGATACAAATTCTGGTTCTGTTCATTTGATGAAGCCAAAGTTATTTTATCTCACTCTAAAGATGAGGTTCCTGAAATCTTGGCAGTTGTGCGTCTTGCCTCAGGTTGCTGAGCTGCCTGCCATCCAGTGAATCCAGAACTATGCAGTTTTCAGGAATTATAATTACGATATTGTCAAGTTCTTTACCTCACCTCTTTCTCGCAAAGAGAATAACGAAGCTCACATACCCAGGAACCAAGTCCTTACCTGCACTGTTGGCTTCCTGGGTTTCCAAGTGTTGCCAGGCACCAAGCTGTTGTCTTCGAGGGTGCTGTGCTGAGGATTATGGTAGCAGGTTGAACACCGGATGCACTGGTGGTGGTGGCACCTGCAGTTGTAGCAGTTTGGCATCATATTTCTCTTTAGCAAGGCAGGGCAGATTTCCCCAGAGCAATAAATGCAAGGATCGTGGACCACAGCCCCCTGAACATTGCAGGAGTAAGAGCAGGTCCTGCGGCAATCAAAATCACTACAGTGCAGTGGCTTACAACACATGGAATTTTCTAGACCTTTGTTTGCAAAACATTCTGAGTAAGTGGGAGTTTCCGACTGTAGGGATGACATGGAATGATAAGATTGGTCTGTGGCATGATACGGTTGGTCTGTGGAATGATACGATTGGTCCATAGGATGGCGCCTCAACTCCCGATAGCTAGAGCTCATGGACTGGAAGTTTTGGTCTATAGGTTTTGGTCTCTGGGTAAAAGTCTTGTTGCTGTGAGTGGTTAACCCTGGCAAATGAGATGTAGATAAGGATTTGCTACTCTCCTCAAAGAACTTTATTCTGTCGGCAAAAGGCGAGAGGATGGCTTCCTCCCCAGCTTGGGCAGTAGAAGCCTTCACTTCTTGGTTGTCACATGAGCTGGAAGGGCCTTCCATGGTTAGCGCCATGTGTGGCTGCAGGTTATGCTCTGGAGACCATCTCCAGTGACCTCCACGGACTCCTTGGTGAACACTTGCTTTCTCAGGGGCTGAGGAGGATGGGTCAGATGTTTTCCACCAGGAGTTCAGGCCCAAAGAGGACTGGCCAGGCCTCTGCCCAGGGCTTATGCGGCCCTCCAAGCCTGTCCTAGGTTCGTGGCTCTCCAGAGGTTGGCTGAGGCACTCTGAAGATCTCGCCCTGAGCATCATGCTTTTGTTGAAGAGTTTGTCTTTGGAGCTAGGGGCATTTTTATATGATAGAAGCGAAGAGTTGGGGGCAGGGAGTGGAGGACTTTCTGGGGGCTCCTGGGTCTCTTCCACTGGCTCCTTAGGGTCACACAGTTGTGACAGCGGACCTTTGCTTTTCTGGAGCTGGGCCTTCCTCCTCTGAATTTCATTACGCAGGTTGGTAGCAAAACGTTCGCTCTTCCGCCGGTTTTGGATGGAGCGGCCCCGGGTCCCTCCACTTCGCCTACCACCCGTCTGGCCATACTCTTTGGACTCACTGTCCCCTTCTTCTGTCACCTCTGCACTACGGGCTACTTTAGCAGTTGAAGAACAGTCCCTGGTTTGTTGAACATGGGAGCCAGAGACAGAGGGCTGCTGGCTGGCCAGTTCATTGCCTGCTCTGCTTGCTGTGTTTGGGTCCAGGAAATTTCTCTCTAGGGGATGTCCATCGACCTCTCCATGAGGGGAACTGCTTTGGCTCTGATGTCCTGAACCCAGAGGGTGATCATCCACTGGCCTGGTGTTTCTTTCCTTGCTGAGTTTGTCCTGGTTTCCTCCTGGGGGGGGACATGAACTTTTCTTCCCTTTGTGGCTGTTATGTAAAGGGGACAGAGTCCATTGGTGCCCATCTTGCCCAGCTGGGAGCTCCATCCCCTTGCTGCTGCCCCTGGGATCCAGGTGTACCTGCTGCAGGTGGGATGCCAACAGCTGTTCAGGGGCACTATGGCGATGCCCTGTGGATCCCGTGAGGTGTGGGGGGCTGCCAAAGGACAGAGCCTTAGAGAGCTCAGTTGAAGGCTCATTGAGAGGGTTGGAATTTCTGTTGGAAGCTTTGTCACAGGATTTCAGGGATCCCACAGCTTTGGTAGAGGCCTCCATCAGTAGATGCCTGGAGTTCTGCTGGTTACATTCAGGAGGCTGGCTGAGCTCACAGTTCGGATGGTCCTCACTTGTCACTTGGTCTTGTTCACTGAGGCAGCAGAACCTGTTCGGGCTCCTTGGGGCTAGTGCTGTGTCCAGGCTTGGTTTCTCGTTTTGTTGCAAGGAATCCACAGGTTGAGAAGCCATGCATTGCTCTCCATTGAGGAGCTGGGCTCTGGAGGCCTGAAGGCTGTCCCGTCTCACTGGAGGTTGGGGTGGTCCCCTGCCTGCCTTGGCAGGTGCTGAGTGGTGGCTCTCCTGTGAGTGGGGTGACATCTGGGAGCTTGGCGTCAGGCGGTCCCCACTGGTGTGCTGGCCACCTCCTGAGGTCTCAGCCACATTAGGTTGGCCATTGGGAGTCTTGCTTGGCCCTGGACCTTGCATGATGCAGTCTGTGGAGGCTGGCTCTTCTGGCCTCAGGGAAAGGGCACAGTCAGAGGCATTGGAGCTGGCTGAGAAGGAGCTATAGGCTGAGTCACGCTGATTTGGGTACATGTTCTGGTCAATAGGCAAGAGATGGCCCTCATAGGTGGCTTGGCCTGGCTGCTCCAGGCTCTCCATGCTGCCAATGGAGCTGCTTTTCTCGGTGCTACAGTGCCGGGAAAGTGGACACCACTGCACACACACGTCACTGAAAGACACAGGGCACACTGGTCAGTTAGTCGGAAGTCACCAGATCCCTTTCCCACCTCGGTCAGCCCTTGCCATGGGAGAAGGAAGGACAACATAGAGCCCCTAGGAAAAAGGCAAAAGAGAAGACAGAGAAGTAGAGAAGAGGATGGACCTTGAGGCACCACAGGGGCAAGGAAGATTGGAGACAGGATGACATATGGAAGAATGGCAAACATCCCAGACTAAACTTGAGGGAGAACTCTATGGGGGTGATACTCTGCTATCAGCACGTCTGAAATTGCTTCTGGGTCACCCTTGCACTCAGGGAATCAACATGGGGCTCTCTGCCAGGAGAGAGAATCACGGAATATCAGGATGAGAGAAGGGATCCTAATGGGATGATTCAATTGCAGCCAGATCATTTTGTAAATCAGTCAAATTCTCAAACTTGAACCTGCTGTCAGAATCACAGGAGGGCTTGTAAAACACAGGGCACAGGACTCAAAGTTTTGGGTCCCAGTGGATGTTTCTAACAATGTTCCAGGTGCTGCTGGTGGTGGTGGTCCCAGAGAACCAGTGTTGTTAAAAAAAAAAAAGCCAGCCCTAAAAGGGAAGTGATTTGCAACAGGTGATTTTTCTCAAGCTCACCAGGCTCTAACTAGTGGCAGAGAAAGGGCTGGAATTTAGGTGTCCCCACTTTCCTTTCTTGATAATTGCAATCCCGACTATTTACCAAGGGCCTACAATGTGCCAAGAACTTTACAATGTCTCATTTTCAGCAAAGGGGGAGATATTTTCACCCTCACTTTTCAACTGAGAAAGCTGAACAGTGAGAGGGGCAAAGTCAACTGACAAGTTCACGAAGCCACTAAGGAAGAGGCAGTGTCCACTGTTTTAGTTCTCTTGCTATACCATCATTTAAATAATGCTAATATGTATGTCAGAAGGTTGCTGTGTAGAAGAAATCTGAGAGGAAGGACAGAGCCCTCATCACAGCCAAGGCACCTAGCAAAGATTCAGTATGTGCCAGCAGCCACTCTGCTCATTGTCATTATCGTTGACCATTGTTAGCAGAGTCCCCTTGATGTCATAGTGGCCCCTGCCCACCCATGCCACTGTCTTCCTCCACAGCAAAGCCACACCAGGAAAACCAAGGATCAGATGCAATCTTGAATTTTAAGCACCATTTCCCACACACAAGGCCAAACTGAGCCAAGTTGTGCCAGGAACTCCCTTTGACTAGAACCCCAGAGGTTGCAGGCTGCTCTGAGAAAGGCCACAGTCCAGAAAGCCAGATTTGAGCTATGACAGCAGTCCATGAGACTCTCATGTCAGCTTCCCTTAATTCTTGCTCCTTGCCTGGCCCCTTAGCCATTATGCTCACTTGTCCTCTGAGCTAGGAATCCATCAACTCCTTGTTGGCAAGGGAACCTGCTACCCACCCCACCACCCTTCCTGCTGAAACAAACCACACGCCCACTGGAACAGGAGCCAAGCTCAGAATGTTTCTGTGTATTCTTCCAGAACAAAAACTGCCTCTGCCCCGAGTCCCTGGCTTCCAATGCCAAATAAAGTCACTGAGTTGGGACAAACTCAACCCTTAGCTTTCCTGAGCCTCCTCAACAGAAATCCCTTTATGGAGGGAAACTCTTGCTGTGGAAGGGAAAAGGAAGCAAGGACAGCATCTCAGCTGGCTCCGAGCTCACCAAAAAAGCTTTTCTGCCTCTTGGACAGCCATTCCAACAACAACAGATAACATCCAGGTACCAGAATTAAGTGATTCTCATTTGCAGAGAGACCTTGCTATTCAGAGAGAGCCTGGTTTCACAGGCTATGGCTCTGTGATGGGGCTGATGGACACTGGATGAGGCCGGCAGTGAGTCACTGCAGATGGAGAGCCCGGACTAAGCCCAGGGCTCCTCCTACAGTAAGAGAGCAGGGGGATGGAAGGCAGTAGGAAAGGCAACTGAGAAAGAGCACTAGCAGAACTGGATGGGAAGCAGGGCAGTGTGGTATCTTGCCAGCCAAATGAGGTCTTTCAAGGAAACGCTGTGCAGAGGGCCCAAAGTCACAGAGAGTTGGCACTAGGTCAGGACTAGAACTCAGGTCCTCTGGACTCCCTGTCATAACACTGTAGTAGCCCACAGGCACTCGCACAGAAGAGGACGAGTGCCTATCCTCCAGCCTGTCTCTAGGGAAGGGCTCTAGGCTCACCTTGTGTTGCAGCCGGAATGCCAGGACAAGCTGAAGGCTTCAGAAGGGAAGTGCATGGTGGTGGCCGCTTCAGGGCATCCCTCCAGCAGCTTGGCCACGTGCCATGAGTGTGGCCTACTGACAGGGGCGTTTCTCCTAGAGCGAGAAAGGCACAGGAAGTTGGCTAAGGGAACCAGGGCTGAAATCACTTCCCAGGCAGCTTCCGCCCCACCCCCCCACCCCCTCTTTCCCTTGAGTGAAGGAGAACATCTTGCAAGGAGCTGGTGTGGGAATCTGAGTGGCCCTCCTCAGCTCCCAGGATTCAAATGTCCTTCACCCCCAGGGACGATGCCTAGAGACACAGAATGTCAGTTTCGCAGGGCTGTGTCATTCCCAGGAGCACTCTAAGCACATACAACAGTTCTGGGTGCATAGTAGATACTCAATAAATATTTGCAAAATACATGAGTGCTGCAGCTGAATGAGCAGCAAGTCAACACTGGGCTGTGAAATCGCCAATATTTACTCATTCATTCAATCAGCATTTGCCGTATATTTATTGTGCTCCATCTATGTGTAGCTCTGAGGATACAGAGATGAAACAAACATACCGGAGTACTTCAGAAACTTTGCGGGAAAATAGAATTAAAAGATAAGTTTATTTTGCTGTAAAAACACTTTGAAATCCACGCAAAGTTTTTACATTATAGGCATTTCCCATGATCCTTTTGAGGGTCCCTCATAGTCTTTGTCCTTGAGAGCTTAGAGGTTAGTGAGACAGAAAGAGAGAATACACGCAATACAGTGCTAATTCAAATAAAACATGGTAAAGGCATGTGTTTGGCATAGTGATTAAGATGCCAGTTGGGATCCCCACATCCCAATTCAGAGTGTTTGGGTGTGAGTCCTGGCCCCACTTCTTCTTATTATTTTTTGGAAGATTTTATTTATTTATTTGAGAGACAGAGTTACAGAGAGAGGAAGAGACAGAAAGTTTTCTGTCCACTGGTTAACTCCCAAAATGGCTGCAATGGCTAGAGCTAAGCTGATTTAAAGCCAGGAGCCAGGAGCTTCTTCCAGGTCTCCATACAGGTGCAGGGGCCCAAGGAGTTGGGTCATCTTCCACTGCTTTCCTAGACCATAAGCAGACAGCTGGATTGCAAGAGGAGAAGCCGGGACTTGAACTGGTGCCCATATGCAATGACAGTGCAGCAGGAGGAGGCTTAGCCTACTACGTCACAATGTCAGCCCTGATCCACTTCTTCTTCCAGCTAATGCACACCCAAGGTGGCACTGGATGATAGCCCAAAGTACTTGGCCCCTGCCACCCATATGGAAAACCCAGATGGAGTTCCTGGCTCCTGACTTCAGCCTGACCAAGCCCTGGCTGTTGTGGCCACAGGAGGTGGAACCAATGGATAGAAGCTCGCTCTCTCTCTCTCTCTCTCTCTCTCTCTCTGCCTTTCAAATAAAAAACAAATATTTTTATTTCAAATAAAGCAGTCAATGCATTGAAAATGTGAGGGATGAGATGGGCACAAGATAAGACACTGGAATGTGCAGTCAGAGTGGTGGCAGGAAACCCCAGCTCCTGTGAGGGAAAATAGAACAATGTGGTGAATGCATGGTGCTGGCTGAGAAGGCACTCTCAGGAGGTCAGGGGTGAATAAAGGGAAACAGGTCTGAGGCCAAGGTCCTGAATGCAGCTACAGGGTCTGTCTAGGGCTGGAAGCTTGGGTCACAACTTCTGCACTGACTGACTTATAGACTGCACATGAATAATTCATATGAATCAAACATGGAAGAATGGTATGTGGAGGAGCACTCACGGGACCATGGGACATGGAGAATGCCAGAGGACAGAGTTGATTCATGGCAGCAAGAATGAAAGTAGAAGGGAGAGGGAGAGGAAGAGGGAGAGGGAGAGGGGAGAAGGAGATGGAGTGGGAGGAGAAGAGGGAGAGGGAGTGGGAGAAGAGGGAAAGGGAGTAGGAGAAGAGGGAGAGGGGAGGAGATGGAGTGGGAGGAGAAGAGGGAGAGGTAGAGGGGAGAGAGAGAGGGGAGAAGGACATGGAGTGGGAGGAGAAGAGGGAGAGGTAGAGGGGAGAGGGAGAGGGAGAAGGGGATGGAGTGGGAGCAGAAGA